CCGCCACCCCCCCCATGCAGCTGCGCGGCCGCGGGGCATCCCCCGGCTAAATTTACACCTCGCCCGCCCCAGTCTCCAATCAGAAACCCAAAAGAGGGCCCGAAAAAAGGAACTGAAACCATCTCCAGTGGGTGCTGACGTGTGAAGGCAAGTGGGTGCCACGCGGCTGAGCCCCGACTCGGCTCAGCCCCGAGATGGTGGCCCTGGCTCTTTGCTGCGGCGAGCTGTGCCCCTGCCTCGCTGGGCTGTCACCTTGGGGGGCCACCGGCCACCGTGGTGGGGGGACAGGTTTTGGGGCAGCCAGAAGCTGCCCAGATTTGGCCGGGGGAGAAAGAGGGACCTGCTGGGGGTTGGTGCTGAGGCTGGTGGGGCTACACGCCATGGCAGGGTGTGTGTCCTCAGCCCAGGGTCACCCCTCCTGTCTCCTGGGGGGTCCCTTCCCAGTGGGGTCTCACCCTGCAGAGGGGTCCCTGTCCCATGGGGGGTGTCCCAGCTGCTGCTCATGCACACACACGTGTGCAGATGTACACACACATAGAGAATCATAGAATTTCCTGGGTTGGAAGAGACCTTTCAGATCATCGAGTCCAACCATGAACCCAACACTGACAAACCCACCACCAGCCCACGTCCCTCAGCACCACGGCTGCCTGGCTTTGAGACCCCTCCAGGGATGGGGATTCCACCATTTTAGCTGTAACCCCTCGGGCAGCTGAGCTGCTGCTGGGTCAGCAATGAGGCTAAAACCTTGCTTTTAGGTGTTCATTGTAGCTAAACAAAGTGCATATGCACACACAGACACACGCACACACAGACACACGCACACACAGACACATGCACACACTTGCACATGCACGTACACACATGTATATGTGCACACACACACTTTGATGCACACCCTCCCCAGTGATCCCAGTGCCTCCAGCCCCCCCGGCTGACCCCACACACGTGGGATTTGGGGACAGGGCTGGCCCTGACACACCTCGTGTCACCCTGTGCCACTGCCACCCCAGCCCTTTGTCAGGGCCTCCTGCTGCCACAGCACTGCCAGGTCACCTCAAATCACTTCTCGTTAACTCAATTAAACTAATAATCCCTGCCTCCCGCCAGGCAGCCCCTCAGCTGGGCTCGTCCATCCGTCTGACCTGCCCCAAGATGCACAGATATTGGGCAGATTTCCCTGAATCTGGGAAATAAAATCCAGGCTATGAATGGATAAAATGTGGGTTATAAATTATAAAATACAGGTTATGAATCATAAAATACTACAGAACACCCCCCCAGGGGTCACAGCCCCAGCGGGGGTCAGCCGCAGCGCCCAAGGCCGAGGTTTTATCACCCTGCAATTGGAAGGGAATTAAACGAAATAAATAAATGCTTGAGGCTGGCATGGTCGAAAACACAACCTGAGCAATCAAGCCGGGTTGCAAAGAGGAGAGAATTTGCATAACTCTGTCAAAACAGCAACCGCCGGGACGCGCAGCTGCAGGAAGGCACCGCGCGGGGCGGCCAGACCCCTCCCCGGCCTTTTATTTGTGTGTGTATTAAACCTCAGCCCCAGCCCGGGGGGAGGTAAACAGCCCCAGAGATAAACACCCGCCCTTGTAAACAGGTTGTAAACAAGCTGCACCGACTCAAAAATAAACACCTTTCCGCTGCTTCAAAATATTTATCATCTCAAGTTTAGCGCGGTAATAAAATAAAACTCCCAAAAAAGCCCCAGCCCTGGTCTGGGGACCAAGAAAAACCTTGTTTTCTGCTCATGTTGGGTGTAAACAGCCTTGTTTCCCCAGGCAGGTGTGCTGGGGGGGGGGGGGGCTGTGTGGCAGGGCTGGTGTTGCCCGGCTGGAGAAGTACCCTCGGTGGGTTTCAGCCCTCGTGAGGACTCCCAAGATGGGGGTTTTTCGACTTAATGTTAAGAAATGTCTAGCTGGGGGGTGCTGGTGACAGCAAAGCAGTGGCAGGGTGACAGCGAGGTGGTGGCAATGAGGCTGAAAGCTGTGATGGGGGCAGCCACCACAGTCCCCACCAGCCCCTCGGGAGGGAACCGGGGGGTTTGGCTCAACAAGTTGGGGAGGATTTTAAGCCAAATTTGGGTTTCTGCCCCTCCACGTCCTGCTGGGATGAGCAGTGCCAGTGCCACGGCTTGGGCAGCCAGTGCAGGGGGGGACTGGAGGGGACGTGGGGTGCCCCCCGGGGCTAGGTGATGGACCCTGACCAGTGCCACCCCCACCAGCCTGCCCACCCGCACCAGGTGCCACCAGCACAGCAGAGCCACCACCGTCCCTCTCCCTCTGCAGCACCGATGGGGGAAAAAATGGTTGGGTTTAAGCATCTTTGCCATGTTTTGGGGGACTTTTGGCCGGGCACCCCGGGCCGGCCATGGGCAGGGGGTGCTGACGCACATGGCTGCCCCCCCAGCTGGGCTCTCTCCGGGCAGCTGTGCCGACCGCAGCCCCGCTGCCCAGGAACGGCCTTTGCTAAAATTACAGCCCCACCGAAAACAAGAGCCCGCTTGGGCCAAACACCAGCTGGGAGCCAGGAATAGCCCCCGGTGCGCGCCGTTTCCCCGGCACAAACTTTCCAGCACGTAGCACCCCGAGCATCGCCGCCCGGCCGTGCCGCGGGCAGGGTGGGGGCAGAGAAAGACATTTTTTGGCGCCATTTCAACAATGGCTCTTGCTGGGGGGGGGGTTCCAGGTCCTTTTCCCTGGTGGGGGGCACAGCGTCTCCCCAAATTTGGGGTCCCATCAGGCTGGGTGCTGTGCACTGAACCCACTGGGTAGTTTTGCCATCCAGGCCCACCAAGGGCTTCACTTGCCAGACCCTTGCCCAGTGCCACCAGCTCTCTCTGCCATGGGCACCGTGGCCACCAGGGACAGGCCCCCCTGGGTTTGGGGACCCTGAGCATGGGGGTGTCTGTTCCTGGGGCTCCTGCCACCCAGTGCCTGGCACTGATTTGTCCCCCACTGTCCTTGCAGAGCTGCAGCCCCAACCCTTCAGGGTCCAGCCCAGGCACCCCCCACGCCCCAGCAGGGTACTGGGGTGGACTGGGGAGGCTCTAGCCATTTGGGGCCAGCTGTGGCTGAACAGGCCTTGTCCTGCTCACAGGGGGACCTGCTGCTGTCACCTTTCAGGCCTATGACCACGCCAGGCCAGCCCTGGGTGCAGCCATGGGGCAGCTGCCCCATAGCCTACTGGTGAGAGGGACTGGGCTGCACAGCAGGACCTGGAGAGGGGGACAGGGAGAGAGGGGGCATGGAGAGACATGGGGGGACATGGCAGAACAGAGAGCATGGAGGACACAGAGGGGATAAGTGGCACGGGGGGACACAGGAGGACATGATGGGACACGAGGGGAAACGGAGGTCACAGTGGGGGCATAGGGAGCATGGGGGACACAGGGACATGGAAGGACAGGGACACAAGGACATGGGTGACAGTGGCATGGAGGACACAGGTGACAGAGGTACAGGGGACATGGGTGGTGGCAGCAGCACGAGGGGTGGGGAACAGCAGCACAAGGATATGAGGAGAGGGGGGACAGTGGCACAGGGGCCAGGGGGGACGGGGTGACAGCACCAGGAGGACAGGGGCGACAGGGACATGGGGGACAGGGGGAACAGTGACAGGAGGCGAGGGGTGACAGGGACACGGGGGACCGTGGTGCGGGGGTGCCCAAAGCCGGGAGAGGGGCGCCACCTGGCGGCCCCATGACGCTCCTGCAGCCCCGCCCGGCCCCGGCGCCCCCGCGCAGGCCTTGTCCCCCATGTCCCCCCTGTCCCCTCTGTCCCCAGTGTCGGTGGCCCCGCGAGGGATCTGGGGGGACACGGGCTGTGCCCCCCATGCAGCGGGGTGGGGACGTGGAGCCAACCTGAGCCTCCCCCGAGGCGGTGCCAGCCCTGGCTGCCCGTAGGCACACGGAGGACCCTGCCCCACGCCTGCTGGTTCTCCCGGGCCTGAGCCCCCGGTGCAGTGGGAGCAGGTGGCCAAGGCCATTACCGGCACTAATGAGGTCTGCTAATGAGCGGTCAGCACACGGAGCCCCGAGCGAGGCTGCTGCTTCCAGCCAGTGCCGGCTGGAGCCCGACGGGAATTCCTGAGCTGGGCCACAGCCACCACCAGGCCAGTGGCACCCATCGCCCAACAGACCCACGGGGCCGAGCACATCTCTGCTCTCCCCTCACGGAAATGGGGCTCCAGGCACCCAGGCTTGAGCTCTGGGGTGGGTTCAGAGACCCCCAGCATCCATGGGGGCCTGCGAGCACCCAGCGTGGGGATCACGGGGGCTTTGGCTGGGCCCCTTCACCCCCTGGAGATGCCCCTTCCCTGCCATGGGCTTCCCAAGCCCTGTGCCAGGAGGGTGCTCAGACCCCCTGCACCCATGGGTGCCACAGCCACCCCTCTGGCTGGGCTGGAGGAGCCCGCACGGGCAGCGATTTCCCCCAGAAATGATGAAAACCTGAGGCCTCCCCACCCCGCTCCCAGATAATGACCTGTGCTCTGATGCCCATAACTCAGGAGGAGACGGGAACACGCCTGGAGCTTCAGCACATTAATTATGAACCACCCCATTTGCCAGGGCCCTGGCTCTGCCCCTGCCTTTCTGGGCATCGCCGGAGCAGCGCCCACAGCTGCAGCAAAATTAGCTCCGTGGAAAGAGCCATCAGTTCCCTGCGTTCTGCCCCGGGGCGCCGAGGGGTGCTGTGTCCCCAGGGACAGCCCTGACCCCCCCTCAGCCAGTCCCAAGCCCGGGGAAGGAAACATGGCCGTGTCTGCGAACATAGGGACCACCAGCATCCCAGACCATGAGAAGGGCCAGGGTTGGGGCCTGGGGGTTCCTTGCAAGGGAAAAGGGGGGTTGTCTCATTCCTGCCTGCACATCCATGCTCTGGGCCAGTCTCCCTGAGTGCCACCCCGTCACTGTCCCCCGGGTCCCTCCCCAGACCCCCACACCAAGCACCCTGCCCCAGCTACGCTGAAGGGACACAGAGCCTAAGTGAGGACCTCGGCTTTATTCCAGCTTGGAATAAATGCCCCCCCATCACCGTTGCAGCGGGACGATGCTCCTACAGGTTTGGGGAGAAGGGGCCGAGCAGGGCCAGGAGGAGCAGGGGGGAGAGGAGCTGGTGGTGGCCCCCGTGGGGGGACCCTCCGCTGGCCGTGGCCGCCCTGGAGGCGAAGATCTTGCGGCTGTGGAGGGGCTGCGGCGGACGGAAGTTGTTGGTCATTTTTAGGAGCGTGGAGCCGGTGGCCGGGAAGTGGAGGGTGCTGACGAACGCCCGCAGCTGTGCAGGGGGAGAGGAAGGGGTGGGCAACCATTCCCTGGGCTCCCCGAGCCCCCACCCACCTGTGAGCCCCCTTTCATGCTGCCCTGTTGCCAGTGGCACAGGACCCAGGGTATGGCCCCCCCACCAGCGGGTGTCCTCCCACCACCCCTCACCGCTCTCCTGAAACCAGACCCACAGGGTGAGGGCATCAGGCAGGTCCTGGATCAGCTCTTGAGTTGTAAATGAGCTAATCGTGTCTCACTGCCTGTGATCAGCACTTAAAGAGCAGCTGGGCCACGGCACCCTCAAGGAAATACGTCTGCTAAGATGCTTGGGTGGCAGAGGAGAACTCCATCTGTCCATCCATCCATCCATCCATCCATGCATCCACCCACCCTCCCACCTCCTCAGAGCCTCTTCCAAGCTCCGGTGCATTCGCTTCCATTTCGCTTTCTGAATCCTGGGGCTGGGCAGGAGAGTGCTGGACGGGATTTCTCCCTGCTGGCAGGTGGCCACAGCTCCATTACTTAACCCTCATAAAATTAATTAATTGCCAGGTTGCCAGGAGCATTATTACAGAGGTGACTTTCCCTGTGCTCTTGCTTAGGGGTCAGGAAGGGGCTCTGATGCCCATAACTCAGGAGGAGACGGGAACACGCCTGGAGCTTCAGCACATTAATTATGAACCACCCCATTTGCCAGGGCCCTGGCTCTGCCCCTGCCTTTCTGGGCATCGCCGGAGCAGGGCCCACAGCTGCAGCAAAATTAGCTCCATGGAAAGAGCCATCAGTTCCCTGCGTCCTGCCCCGGGGCGCTGAGGGGTGCTGTGTCCCCAGGGACAGCCCTGACCCCCCCTCAGCCAGTCCCAAGCCCGGGGAAGGAAACATGGCCGTGTCTGCGAACATAGGGACCACCAGCATCCCAGACCATGAGAAGGGCCAGGGTTGGGGCCTGGGGGTTCCTTGCAAGGGAAAAGGGGGGTTGTCTCATTCCTGCCTGCACATCCATGCTCTGGGCCAGTCTCCCTGAGTGCCACCCCGTCACTGTCCCCCGGGTCCCTCCCCAGACCCCCACACCAAGCACCCTGCCCCAGCTACGCTGAAGGGACACAGAACCAAAGTGAGGACCTCGGCTTTATTCCAGCTCGGAATAAATGCCCCCCCATCACCGTTGCAGCGGGACGATGCTCCTACGGGTTTGGGGAGAAGGGGCGGAGCAGGGCCAGGGGG